ACAATTGTGAAGTGGAACGAAATTTATTGGATAATTTAAACTTTTTTAACAAATGAAAAACTGAAAAGTGGGGCGTGCAATATTATTCGGCCCCTTTACTTTCAGTGCAGCAAACTCACTCCAGAAGTTCAGTGAGGATCTTTGAATGATCCAATGTTGTCCTAAATGACTGATGATGATAAATAGAATGCACCTGTGTGTAATCAAGTCTCCGTATAAATGCACCTGCTCTTTGATAGTCTCAGGGTTCTGTTTAAAGCGCAGAGAGAACCATGAAGACAAAGGAACACACCAGGCAGGTCTGAGATACTGTTGTAGAGAAGTTTAAAGCCGGATTTGGATACAAAAAGATTTCCCAGGCTTAAAACATCTCAAGGAGCACTGTGCAAGCAATTATATTGAAATGGAAGGAGTATCAGACCACTGCAAATCTACCAAGACCCGGCCGTCCCTCCAAACTTTCATCTCAAACAAGGTGAAGAGTGATCAGAGATGCAGCCAAGAGGCCCATGATCACTCTGGATGAACTGCAGATAACTACAGCTGAGGTGGGAGAGTCTGTCCATAGGACAACAATCAGTCGTGCACTGCACAAATCTGGCCTTTATGGAAGAGTGGCAAGAAGAAAGCCATTTCTCAAAGATATCCATAAAAAGTCTCATTTAAAGTTTGCCACAAGCCACCTGGGAGACACACCAAACATGTGGAAGAAGGTGCTCTGGTCAGATGAAACCAAAATCGAACTTTTTGGCCACAGTGCAAAACGATATGTTTGGCGTAAAAGCAACACAGCTCATCACCCTGAACACACCATCCCCACTGTCAAACATGGTGGTGGCAGCATCATGCTTTGGGCCTGCTTTTCTTCAGCAGGGACAGGGAAGATGGCTAAAATTGATGGGAAGATGGATGGAGCCAAATACAGGACCATTCTGGAAGAAAACCTGTTGGAGTCTGCAAAAGACCTGAGACTGGGACGGATATTTATGTTCCAACAGGACAATGATCCAAAACATAAAGCCAAATCTACAATGGAATGGTTCACAAATAGACGTATCCAGGTGTTAGAATGGCCAAGTCAAAGTCCAGACCTGAATCCAGAATCTGTGGAAAGAGCTGAAGACTGCTGTTCACAAATGCTCTCCATCCAACCTCACTGAGCTCGAGCTGTTTTGCAAGGAAGAATGGGCAAGAATTCCAGTCTCTCGATGTGCAAAACTGATAGAGACATACCCCAAGCGACTTGAAGCCTGAAATGTGGCGAAATGTTGAAAGGTTCAAGGGGGCCGAATACTTTCGCAAGGCACTGTATCTCTGAGTTGTAAGTGGATGAATGAAACAGACAAAATCAGCACCTTTGCACATGTTACACATTTTCTCATTTAGCCCCAAGTTGATGCTCAGCAGTTATTCATGTTGTAATAAAGCCGTAAAAAGCCTCATGTTAAAACCAAGAAGAGTCCAAAACAAGGATTTGTAAGCAACACGAACATTGTGTTCTAATCGCTTAAAATTCACTGAACTCAACGCTTGATCCTCAATTCAGTCGCACATCAAACAGGTCTGAAATGAGTTTCTCAAACTAATTGTAGATGAAGCTGTTCAATCCAATAAATTAACATTTCAATCAAACAGATTTCGTATTTTGTTTGTCCAATGTTATTTTGCTCACAGAAGTGTACGTACAGCATATGCCCAGGCGACTTCACGCCGGGTTCATTTTGGACAAAGCCATCTGGATGAAGATCAAATAACGGGGGATATGGCAGTTGCCATATCCCCCGCCATATAAGATGTGTTTACAGTAATGCCAATGCACACAGAGGCAAAAGTACAGTTAAAACTAGGGCTGAAAGTAACATTGATCTTTAAATTGTTTTATTCATTTATGAACATTATTCATATTGAAAAGGCAATAGAATACAATATAGATTTCTTTGGTGTGCTCTGCATGTACAGCTCTGAAGTGTACAGTAAACATCATAGTTACTATGGCTCTAGAGTGCACCAGTACAGCCAGCATTACATGCCTTATAAATATTCCGCTCACGTGCCTTTTTAGTCTACTTTTTAAACGTGCTGTTTGTCAACTGTCGACTGTGCTATAAACACAGCTAGGAGCTATTTTGAAGCAAAGAGCAGTAGACTAAACTACCCAAATGTCATTTATAAGTAATTAAATTGATGTAATTAAAGTAGTAATACATTTATTATCACATGGTCAAAGATTTACCTTTCTAACTTCGGAATCACATCCTAAATGTGTCAGAGAAGTTTTCCTCCGATCGATAATGACTGGACGTTTACTGCTCACCTCTCACCTAAATGACGGTGCAGACAAATGTGTGTGCCTCTGTAATGTGTTTTAATGGCACCAGTCTAATTTATGGCCCCTGTTAAGAACATTAGAAAAATGCCAAAAGCCTCAGTATGGCCCTCATTCAATAAGCCACATCTGCTGCTGGCACACAATGTTTATCAATGTAGTCTAATTGGAATTATAATCAATAATGGTTTAGACACAGGCCAGTAATTAGGAAAAAACATGTTTGTACCAGTGATTCAGCTATTTCTTTGCAAATTAAAGACTGTCTTGAAGCAGTGTATTTTATGTAGGTACAAACCTGTTTAGTTAAGGGTTAATGCTGCAGTACCAACTTTCAAACCACAGAAAAGTGGGTTATAAAAGTCATCTAATTAATTACTCTAAAACAGTTTGGTTCTATCATTTTCACATGCACGTATATTTGGCCTCTGTCACATCTTAAAACAGCCTATTAGAACAAAAAATTAAAAAGAAATGACTCTGTTCATCTCTTTTTCTAGTCAATCATCACTCAGCCCAAAGAGTAAAATAGCGACTCACAGAGCTCTTTCTTACAAGTAGGTAAAATAAAAGTAAATATAAGTTAAATATGTTTTCTAATAAGATGAGGACAGCATATTGTGGTCTGATTCCTTCAGATTGTGTTACAGGACTTTCTGCAAACATAATAATGAAATACAAGAGTTGGGTACCCAAGCTAAATGTCAACATTGAAATAGCAAGACTCTCTATTTCTATTTATGTTTGGTTGGTTGGATTATGTTTGATAAGCAGGATTTAGAAATCATTACCACAATGTAGGATATTAAAATCTCATCGCTGAAACAGAAACAGATTGTCCTGAGCCGAAAGCACAAAGAACCAAGAACCTTAATTATTCAATCATTTTGACAAACCTCATCGTCCGCACAGCGTAGCACAGGGGTCCCCAACCTGTGGCTCGGGAGCTACAGTAGCTCTCTATCCCCTTTAAAGGAATAGTTCACCGTTTTTACATACTGACATATGTTCTTACCTTACCTTAGACTAGTTAATACGTACCTGTCTGGTCTTAGTCCGTGCGCTCTGTCATGCAAACGGAGCAAAAACGGGAGCACAAACGCAGCCTCCTCTGTATACTGTATAGTACCCAAAAGGTAGCTCCCGCTAGAAGCTACCAAACTCTTCCAAGTGTTCCCTATTAAATATATATAGTTACGTGACGTGTTACACTGCAAAGTATAGTAACACAGAAATGTAACTGTCGATTTTCTCAGCGGATAAAACGGGTACTATATTGTGAGGCGTAGTAATCTGAGGAGCGCTACGTCCGCGCACTAACTTCTCTCCGGAGACTTCTCTCTCGCTCACTTCCGTCAATAGAAGCAGCGTGACTTGTAGTACACACAGTAGTAGCAGAGACTTATCGGATAGCTAGTTTGAGGACAGTTGAGGCAGCATCAAGTTTTCGTGAGAAACTAGGATGCAAATTATCTTATAAACTGAGGAGGGGAAATATTTGGATTTAAAAAAAACAGGCATGGCACATGGACATGGCACCACAGTCAAATGACATCTGTGTTTTACTCAGTAATGTTTTACTGACACTTAGGTGACTGCACATGCGCAAACAACCGCGCTCAGTGCAGGAAAGCTAAACCACGACAAACTTGTCAGCGAGTTACCACCAATTTTCCGGACTATGCATCCCTGGCCGATTCAATTCAGTGCAAGTCATATGAGTAAACTCGGGTAATGACAAAAAATGTACATAGGTAATTGTGTTGTGTTGTGCTAAATTGGCTCATGCGGTTTTGCATGTACATAAACATACATTGTAGGTATAAAGAATATTTTTTGAAATAAATATATGATTTGCATTTTTGTAGTAGGTAGATCATTTTGACTTGATCCTTTTATAAGTAGCTCGCATGCTGAAAAAGTGTGAGCACCCCTGCTGTACGGTATAATAGTATATTATGTATGTGTTCTCTAGTTAATAAACAGTCTATCCTTATGTATTTGTTTTATAAAAGTAGCTCACCAATCGACAAGTTTGGAGACCGCTGGAGTAGAGGATCTTTCTGTCCACTAATTAAAAAAGTTTACTTCGCCATGCAGATGTATGTTCCATGAGTTCCATGCTTTGAAATCTTGACGCTGTTTTCTTTTTAAACGACTCATTGCTGCCCCTGGTGGTCAGGGGCGTAACTACAATATTATTTTTAATGTTTTCTTCAAGTACAGGATTAATCCACTACAGTATTTCTATTCATATCTGGTCTCCCGTTGTCTTTATGTTACAATTCATATATTTAAAGGTTATCTAGTCAGGTGTTACTATGCACTTGACTTACAGGGCAGTTCAGGGTTTTAAAGTGACATTTGAACCTGGGGTAACCATGTGACAGAAGCCAAAAATACATACATGAGAAAACTGTTTTGAGAGCAGGGACCTGGTCAGATGGGTTGTTTTATATAGCTACATTGTCGTGGTTTGAAAACGTGTACATCCCAGTTTTCACATAGAAACCCCGTGTATAGATAAGGTTGTGAGTCACCGCCCTATTTATTTAGTTTGCTGTTCGGGGGCACGTACGCGTTCGTTTCAACCTGAGTAAATAAAATGCCCCATAGTGTCTGTCTGTCCACTGTGATAAGTAGATGTCACAGGGTCTGAGTGACTCTCATCAGTATGTATGAGTGTGCGCATGGATCAGCCAAAGCGCGCACCACACTCCAGACGCACTGCTCTCTGCTCCACACGCGCGACTCTCCTCCACCTCCTGAACCATTTGGACCCAGCTGCTTCATGGAAATACATCCAAGACAAGTGCACTCCAGTGGCTGTGACTCGGCAGTTATAATGGTATAAAATGTCATATGTAACGCATAGATTACATTTGCATTAGTCCAAACGGAGAGGCAGTTGGCGCACATTGGATCCCACAGAAGGTAAGTTTATTTTCTGTCAATATTTAAGTTATTGATCGTGCTAAAGGTCTAAGCTGCGTTATACGTCTACATGCAAAGTTGAGCTGAAACATGGTCGTGTATAAGTACATGCAGTGTTAAATGTTTCAAATTATTTTAGAATTTTAGAGAAGAAATATGATCCTACTTGTTGCATGTCTTCTCAAGGCAGAAACACAAGGTTGTTAACATGGCATGGTTATTTTTTGTCAATAATCTATTTGTGCTATGTGAAATAAACTCAATTTGCTACTGACGATCCAACTGCTCCATTATACAAACGTCATTCACAACTCACAAATCAGTTTGATCAGGGTCCAGTGACAGATGAAAGGAGCAAACCCCAAAGCGTGGCATGTGTTTAAAGTGATCAAATGATTCCTGTCTGATCTGACTTCAGTCTTATATCTCATAATGACTCTTCCCCACAAGCCTGGTACCAAATAAACAAGGACAATATATGTTCAAATGCGACTAACATGAGTATGAGGACATTTGCGGTCTACTTTTTCCCCTAAAGAAGCACTTAGCATTGGACACAGTGATTTCCCAGGACAGCACTGAAGCACCAATAACGTGTGGGAGGTCAATCTGAACTCAACTATCAAATGGGATTTTTCCACTCATCATTGTGGTGACAATTGCAACACGAAAGACTGATAACACACTGGATCAATCACGTTAATGAAATTCAATATGTGATGTATGCCATGAAGAGCCATTTTCTTTAACCAGATCTAAAAATATTGAAATTATGGCCCCCAAAAAAATCCATATTTCTAAAAGTGACTGATAATAAGTACAAAATATATACATGTAAAAACAATCCATCCATATTTTGTTCTAATAATGGCATGAAAATGGCAGATGGTCTTGTTGCTGCAATTTCATGTCAGAAAAATCCATGATGTGGGTGTGTAGAGTTCATCTACTAATAACTCCATGGGGGTTTGCGATGTCTCCACTGGTGGGTTTACTATCCATGTCTGATAAGAACTCAATTTCTTGAAACACTACAGTCAGGCCCGTCCCAAGGAGGGTGCGAGGCCCTGTGCGAACTCGAAACGCGAGGCCCTGCCCTGACACTTTTTTCCCAGATCTGAGGAAAGTTTTTCCTGTTATAATCTTTGACATGAATTCAGCACCACCTCGCGCGGTGCTTGACGAGATCAGCACGCGTGTAACCGAGTGTCTTCGCTCCTATGCAGCGTTTGGCGCGCGCACGTACACACGCACACACACTCTACGTGCAATATTGGTCGCGGTCTTTTTAGCTGACATGTCTCTTTCGTCCTGTGGCAAAATGGTAGAGCAACTCAAAAGATTGAACCAAAAGGAGTCTTTTTCTTCTAATAGTTAGATTTTGGCAAAATGCGCCAAAATGGCTATGAGGCGGAGTCAATATTATTTTTTTCTCATCAAATAACGTTTTTGCCATGCCTCCACACACTCTGACAACATACACTCCTCCTCCTCCACGCTGACAACAACAAAATACTCTTCACCTCCTCCTCCACACACTCTGACCACAACAAAAACACTCCAGCTAGCTAAAGCTAGACATACAGTGTGTTTGCTAATGCTTTTAAAAATATGTTTTTGATGTGGATATTCGGACTAAACATTGGCAATAGCAGCGCTCACACACCTGTCACACCGCTGATCCTCCTCCTCCTCCTCTGCTCACACAAAGGGGTCTGCTCCTCTGCTCACACCTGTCTCACTGCTCCTCCTCCGCGAGTATCCATCTCTCCTACACTGCGATCATTCCCGTTACTTTCTTTGTATCTCACTCAGACACTGCTAAAGTTATCTGACAGTTTTTTCGGAGGACCCGTTGCATACATAGCTGCCCGCGCGCCTGCCTGTTTACAAATCGCTTTTGGTGAAAATTTGACTTTACTTGTAAAAATGTTCTTTTGATCAAACGAAATCAAAGAGGTCCAGAGAAAGGGGTTTAGGGTTCCAAATTTGGAGTGCAGTCTGCCCTTTGGGGACCCTTGAACTAGTGTATTTATAAAATAAAATAAAAGGAAGGAAGATTGCGAGGCCCCTGTGTGGTGCGAGGCCCTGTGCGATGGCACAGGTCGCACAGCCCTTAGGACGGGCCTGACTACAGTCTTATTCTAAGTTTGAGTGTGCTTTATCTGTTTTTCTTTTTTTTCAAATATGCTGCTATTGCTTGGCCTTGGTGTATTGATTTGCAGTTATGGATAAGCTGTCACATGTGAGGGCCATTACCAAAAAAACAGAAAAGAAAGGAATGAATGTGGAGAATTGGATTAGGTTTAAGTTTGAATTTGTTGATTTGTGTGAATGTTCATTGACTCCGTTGAATAAATAGTATATTGACTTATTGCTCATAGATGAAACAATAGAAGTTGGCTCTCAAATATTTGCGTCTGTAGATTTTCTTTGCAAAAGTGGAGAGATATTAGCTAAGCTTTTCGCTATAGATGGTTCAATATGACAAAATATTACTTTATTCTTCTTTTTTTCATAACGCATGCTTTTAGTGAAATGGACGAATGAAAAATCTTGGGATTCTCCTGCCTAAGTTTAAATCAGACCTCAAAACCCATCTTTTCAAACAAGCTTTTCCGTAAAACCCTTTTTATTATTGTATCCTACTCCCCATGGGAAGCGTCTTTGAGTGTCCAAAAAAGCGCGATACAAGTTTGATGTATTATTATTATTATCATTAATTGTAGAAGCATGTGTGGCTATAAAAATATACTGTATATTGCAATCACTGGAGTCAATATATTGTCCATCAAAATGAGCTGTTGTGCCAGGCCTAATGACCATAGAAGTCATTTGCATTTTCAAACATCTCTAGAAATATCGTCTCTGACTGTGATTTTGTGTGGACTTTCCTCAGGTCTTGAGCAGAGCAGATGGGACGTCACCATCAAGCAGACTCACGCTGAGGTGCCATGGCCTCCTGGATCTTCCCCTCTGCTCCTCCAAACATCTCCGAGCATTTCATGTACGACAGCTTTCTGCAAAACGAATCCGACTCCAACTCCGGCAACTACACGGACTATGGCTTCAACCGGACCAGCACCATTGTCATCACATGCATGTACTTTATGGTTTGCACCGTCGGACTTTGTGGAAACTCGCTGGTCATTTACGTCATCCTACGCTACGCCAAGATGAAGACTGTTACAAATATATACATTCTAAATCTGGCTGTTGCTGATGTTTTGTTCATGTTGGGGTTGCCGTTTATTGCCATCCAACTTGCCCTGGTCCACTGGCCATTCGGTCCTGTCTTATGTCGAGTTGTGATGACTGTAGACTCTTTGAATCAATTCACTTCAATCTTCTGCCTTATGGTCATGAGCATCGATCGCTACTTGGCCGTGGTGCATCCTATCAAGTCAACGAAATGGCGCAAACCCCGCATGGCCAAGACTATCAATGTAACAGTGTGGGGCGTCTCGCTGATGGTCAACCTGCCTATTGTCATCTACAGTGGAATTATCACGAAGCAGGACGCCTGTTTTTGCTCAATAGTTTGGCCTGAGCCTCAAGAAGCGTATTACACAGCTTTTATGTTCTATACTTTTGTCCTGGGGTTCTTTCTACCTTTGCTGGTGATCTGTCTGTGCTACCTATTTATCATTATCAAAGTCAAATCTTCAGGAATTAGAGTGGGATCTTCAAAAAGAAAGAAATCAGAGAGAAAAGTAACCCGGATGGTGTCTATCGTAGTGGCCGTGTTTGTTTTCTGCTGGCTGCCCTTTTATGTGTTCAACGTGACCTCGGTGACCGGCACTCTCTCCACCACGCCCATCCTGAGGTCCACTTTTGCTTTCGTGGTGGTTCTGGGCTACGCCAACAGCTGCGCCAACCCCATACTCTACGCCTTTTTGTCAGAGAACTTCAAAAAGAGTTTCCAGAATGTTTTGTGCTTGAAGAAGGTGGGAGGACTGGATGAGGCCGAGCGCAGTGACAGCAGGCAGGATAAGTCTCGCATGATCAACGACCCCACAGAGACGCAGAGCACACTTTTCAACGGGGATCTGCAAACCAGCATCTAAACGACTGTGGTTTATAAGGCTGTTACAATGAAAAAAACTGTCTGATCTGCTTGTAATCGTGAATACAAGGTGTGTATTTATTTGTAAACAACAATTTCAGTGGAGACGTACAGTTTATATTGAATGTTTTTGAAGATCAAGTCCTTAGTCCTTTTGTCTCATAAATGTGTTGAGACTAAAGATTGAGCCAAGGAGCCAAGTAAGAGATAGAGCCCTACTAAAACCAATATCTTACACAAATAGAAAGAAATATTTAGGAAAAAGAGGGAAACGTTTGTGGGAGGCAAGGTTGCTATAGAGAAAGTGTGCTGGATTTAGCTCAGGGGCTGGTGCTCTGTGTACTGGGTGTGTAGCTCTGACTGCCACCCCTGACCCAGAAATGGATTAAGGGGAAGAAAATGGATGGATGGAAGGAGAAATTCTCATATATTGATGCTTAAAGGGTACCTTTTCTAGTTATCCCAGGTTTGCAGGGACAATACCAGTTCTTTGTTTAGTTCAATTCATTTTCCTAGCCTTTGGAAGTGCAGTATATTTCTCTCCAACATTAATTAAAAAGTTTTAAAAATGACACAGATATGTGCAGTTTATATCTGTGTGGAAACAGCTCAACAGATGGGCACTGTTGAGTTAATTTTGCTTTTTGGAAAATATGGCATTGCTCCAACTTCCAAAGTTATAAATCTTACTTGTAAATAAGTAATAACCATGTGCTTTAAGTGTGCTACAGTATACAATTATTAGACCACTTGAAACCCGCAAAATGTTTAGTACGTTGTCTTTTCAGTGGTGGAATATATAGCGTTTTGTTCCAGACTAAAGTTAAATGTATCCTTTACAAGTGAACAAATGTTGCCAAAGTGCTGCTAAACAGTAGAAAAAGTGAATATATTGTTTGTTTTCCTTCTAGTTGTCTCCATGAGCATGTGTCGTGTCTATTAATACAAAGTTACCGTCTGCCAGTGTTTATCTGCTGACTCTGGTGAGATGGCCGACGGCTCAGTGCACTTACAAATCTTCTCTGATGTCACTCACCCACCAGTCCATGCAAAACACCATGAGACAGGGACCAGTAGGAGATGCACTGTGTTTCTAGTTGTAAACATAGAGGATATTATTATACACTATGGGATCCAATGACCATTAGACTTAGATAGATCCCATAGCAAAGTGGTGACATCATTACAGAGACGTGACAAGCTCATAAAATGTGCACAGTGGACCTTTGCTCTTAGGTGTTTGTTTGTAATAATCATTTGTGACATTTAAGCATGCCGTCTGCAGACTGTAGTAAGTTAAAACGTGCATTTGTGTCCCTTGCACAAAATGCTATAAATAGTTTCAAAGTCTCTCATGACGAATAGCCGCATTTGTGTTCAACATAATTTATCTAACATAAAAACGGCGGAACTGGCTGAATGTTGGTGTTTCAAGTATTGCATAGACACTGTACTTACACTGAATACCAGTTTAGTGGCAACTCTGTGGTTTTCATGTTTCACTGTTGCAATTTTCATTTGAATTAATGTTTAAAGCCTTTTTATTGCCCCAAATATCTGTAGTAAAACGTTTGTTTCAATTATCAATACCCGTTGCATTTTGTATTGCTTTATACATTTTGAAAAACACGTTGATAGGTAAGACACAGTTAAGACATTTTAAGTGGACAGTATTGCCTAGTTAATATTTTCAAGTGGCGTCAACATGATTATTCCAAAAGGTTTTTATTCTGCCATTGGTTCATGGCACTGGTCACATAAGGAAGTTTGTTATGTCTTTTGACCAGCGTGTGGCGCCAGATTCAAATAAATGGGAATGAGGACCGTTACCATAGTAATTTAGAAAACAAACTATCCATTTGAATTGGGATAAAGCCTGCAAAACGATGCACCATGAATATCCACCACTGTTCAATTTGTCTAATCTAACAGATGGTGCTTAAGTGTGAGAAGAAACAAGAAATGGCCCAGAGAGTTTCCAGTTTTGTTCTGAGTTTAATCACTGAAACGTAAAATGGAGCTCTCCTGTTCGTTTCAGCTGCATCCCTGAATGTCCTTAGCGAGCCTCAACTATACTCCACGCTCCACGGCGACACGCAACAGACCCACGAGTACACATCTTTGTTATCCGTGTCGCAGCAGCCCAAAATAATATGGTGTTGTCGTGGGGGAACAGCAGCATTGAGGGTGGTGGTATTTGAACGACAGCTTTGCCAGTCTTGTCTTATACTCATACACGTGGGATCCTTTGAAAACAATCGAAGAAAACATGTGATATGAATAAGTATTACTCGAGGTCTAACTGGTCTGACAACATCAACCACTCGCCACACCGACCGCACAGTTGCCATGGAGAATATTAACACTGATGGATTGCGGTCGTAAAGACAGCATTGTGAGTAAACCCTCTCATATTGCACAAATATAAAATATCAGAAATGGTGACGGACCGGCAAGCCTCGGGGCGTTACTGGGCCGAGTTTTCACATTTTGCGAGATCAGTCATTTGTAGATATTGAACCGTACGTTGAGAACAGACCAGAGCACTCCCCTATACTGTTACACAAGTGTTCACATGGTTTTACAAAACTCAAAAGCTTGACAATCAACATACAACTCCATTTAATAATTGCCATCATTATACCTACAATTCCACAAGAATGAAAGTATAACATTTCCAGTACTAAGACAACAAAGTACACGTGACTGTACTGAAAATAGGAAATGAGTAAACAAAAAATTGCAATGTGTCGATACAAAAATATATTCCCTGCCCTCAATCATGATGTAAAAATAAAAACAACCGTAAATAAAGGATCATGAGCACACTTAGGTCCAAATCCGTTTCCATAGCAGCGCTTCCCCAGCAACGAGTAAAGGCAGCATCTTTAGATTCTCCCACATTTTTTCTCGTTAAAAATAGATGCATACTTGATTCATACAGTATTTGATAATTCACAAATGATATCCATAGCTTAAAAAGAAAAAGTTATTTTTTTCAGGTTCATAATACATTGATTTTATTTTTATTATTTTTTTTGCGCTCAGTCCCTTTTTACTGTATATGCATATGTGTTGGACTGTCTTCCATCAAGTTTAAATGCTTGTTAAGTTGAAACAAGAGCACCATGAAGAGAGATGGTAGAAGCGGTTGGTGGGAGGGGGTTGAAATACTGTGGCGTGCCTTCTGACGCATGACCCGGGAACATTACGCTCCGCCTATGCAGCAGGTAACAGGGGACAGCAGACAAGGTCCTCCTCCAAAGACCTTTCCCTCCATCTCTCCTTGTTCATTCGTCAAGTAGATGCCGGAAAGTAGCTCAGTGCTTGTTTTCTTTTATAAGGTTGCATTATTACACACTGTTTATATTTGCGGTCCTCCAAGTGCGGGAGAAGCAAACTGGTAGCCACGAGAGATTCAGGTAGGTTTGTGTTTGAAATCCTGTCCCCGAGTCCCTTCCAATGCAGTGGTTGGTTCAGTCTTCAAAGACACTATTCGTATTCAAGGAACTGTTTATGGTAAAATAAGAGATACCTGCAAACATAAAAGCATCGCATTAGAATGGCACTAAATGTTGCAATACAAATTGTTAGAAAGAGAGTAGAGAAAGTTTTCGCTAAAGAAGTTCTTCTCAGTGTAAAAGCAGAGAAAAAGATAGTCTTCCTTGTCCTAAAATTGTAGACATTTTTAGACTCTTAATGTCAAAGTGGCAGGTTTCAGGATTTGCATGTAATGTGTCCCAGAAGTACATTCTCAATAATAAAGAATTTTAAAAAATCTATATCCATGCTCTAGAACTATATAGGTGAAACTCGGGAAAACAAAAATAACTTATCTCTCTAATTCAACGTACAATGTGAGACCAACATATGACTTGTTACATGCAAGTGACATGTCGAGTCTGTTATAATTTTGATGATTATGACTTAGTTAATACACAGATTATTAAATATTTTCTGAGATGTTTTATTGGCGACAAGGTGGCTGAGTGGATAGCACTCTCGCCTCTCAGCAAGAAGGTCCTGGGTTCGAATCCCGGTCGGATCAGGGCCTTTCTGGCGACCCCACTCCCATCTCTGTGTGGAGTGAGAGACAAATGCCCAAAATAATAATAAAAAAAAAAAAAACAATTGTAAACCGCTTTGAGACTCAGATCTGCAGTGAAAAGGCGGCATATAAATAAAGATTACTTACTTAATTTGGGGTTTTTACAGCTGTGGGCCATAATTATCCACATTATAACAAATAAAGGCTTGATCTGCCTCATGTGTAATGACCCTGTCATATTTGTTACACACTTTAAGTTGGATTACAGCAGTTAATGGACTTTTGAACAATATTAAATTTTTCCCAGTTTCACTAGAATAGCACCGCTCTCAAATTCTTGAAAATGACAGCAACCAATTATCATGAGATAATTAATAGCATGGCATCTATAGAACACTGATAGCAAGAAATGTATCTTCCTTACATACAGCATAATAACAATGTAATGTAAAGTGATTATTTATTAATTTAACACCTTGTGCAATTGATTCTATCTTATTTTGTTCAGCACTTTGAGTTGCCATGTGTGTGAATTGTGCAATACAAATAAACTGCCCTTGCCTGAAGTGAAAAGATAAGTGGGGGAACTTGCATTAAAAAAGGAAATTAAACAGCAGAGTAATATGAAACTCAAGGCAAAAGCATAGGACAAACTGAAAGGAGGTAGGTCAAGTATCTGGCTGAAAACAAAAATTGAACCTCCGCCACTTGTTCTTCTATGTCTGCGCTGTCTGTGGTCTTACCCTTCACTGTCAAGTACGTCCTTAATGCTGGCCTTCGTGATTATGGCGTCGTCACATTTAAACCACTGGTCTTTGTGCTGTCGAATGAAGCTGGTATAGTGCCCACTTTCTAATGTTCCTTGGTGATTAACCACTGCAAACAACGAATACCTGGAGAGAGGAGAGGATGGCGTCAGTCATGCAGTGGCTGTGTGTCATGGGGTTATGTAAATGTTCAGGAATATTGTTATGGTTGAAGAAACAAAGCCGCTTTTAACAGACTTAAAGTAGATTTAACCCTTGCAGACAGCTGGTTTGGGTAACTGTCAAGCCTAACTGTTTTAGTGGATCATTAACTGACAAGAATGACATTGTAACTCTGTAGAAATGGCAGGTACTTACTTATTGTCGTTATTTAATACGTCGACTGTCTGTTGATACTGCCCATTCATTCTGCTTTCTTTACTGTGTTGGAATGACAGAGGGAAAAGTGGTGTAGGCAAAATTAGAAATGATTGAGATATAAAGAATATAACGTGAAACTTACTAGATATTAAAAAGGTGGTGAACCCAACTTCCACCCCCAAATTATCCATACATTGACATTGGTTACTTCAGCTATAAATGAATAAAACCATTTGACTAAATAAATAAGTATTTGTTATTATGCTTAGAATGAAAATTCAGAATAAAAATACTGAATTACATCTCGCTTTTCCACAGTATTGTTATTAAGAGACATGTTGTTTGTCCACTAGATGGCAGCATTGCACAAACTATTAAGCCAAGAGGGCCTAAGTAGCACAAACATCCCCACATCCCTTTGAGCTGAATGAACACGAGAGTCAGGGTGGGGCAAGACTGCTGCATGCTCCACCAGCAAGACACATTTTCAGTCCTATTCAATACTGTAAAAATGTATGCATCACTTGATAAAAAATTGTCATGCCTAGCGATAACATTGAACTTGCTTTTTAATGGTATGTATGTATGTTTTGAATGTACTCTATGACTGCTTACCTGGATGCCATGAAAGGTGTCATGTCTAACTCTAAAGGAAAGGAAACGTATGTGGTAATCTTCCTCCGCAGTTTCGCAGAATGCTCAAACCGCTGGAGATGGTCAGAAGAAAGAAGGGATGAGGGGGAATGGAAAAAACAAGGGGGGGAGGGGGGGAGAACACATTTAGATCAGATCGGCTTGCATCATTACAACATTAAAATATCTACAGATAAATTGATTGCTACTCGAGCTCTTCATCACACAAACACCATTTTATCTTCCCTCTGTTCGAGTATCTCCTCGCTATGCTAAAACGCGTTTGTGCTGTCACCACAAAAAACCTATCGGTGAAGAGATAAATACAATGAAGCCAGGCCTTGGAATCGATGTTTGTGATCACAGAGAAAACAAGATTGGCTTAACAAACGCACCTGAGGTTTTGAGACAGTGACAGTTAATGTAACAAGTGACAAATGGCAGAATACTGCTCCGAGGCCGACTCACTTTCAGATGGAAACATGCTACGATGGGGAGCTTCTTCATTGTCAGCTGTTTAGTAGACTCCTGGTAACTATGGCAACCGCCACACTTAATTTTGGCACTGCTTCCTAGATGCTCCGGCCGCGTAAACCTGCAGAGGGAAAACGGTGAGATGGATTAAAGTCCAAACAATGCAGCGTTTTTTAGAACAAACAAAACAAATGGCATATGTCCAGGGCCGAAAAAACTGAAATAAAGCATGTACGTCACAACTCAAGCAAAAAAAGAACTTAGAGATTGTTGTTTTAGTTGTCTAAAAATACTGATCCACATATGAATGGCACTCTCCTTATAAACCATGTACCCTTCTCAACAATGTCAACAATCTAAAAATCAACAATCCATGTTTTTCAATTATAAATATTGCACATCAGAATTAACCATACACCATGTTAAACTAAAAAATATGTTCCTGCAAGATTAAATTGAGAAAACATAATTTCATAAAACCATTAGATGTAAGGCTACATCTATGCGACAAAAGGAATAGAAACACTGTACGTCACCAGTCGATAGAATTAAACTAGGTTGCATACATTTATAAACAGGCCTGGGTGTTTCTGCATCTAAACCCCTAAGACCGGTATTACCAACCCCTGTAGTCATGGCAACAGCGTTAACCAGTTCCTGTACCTTTAAGAGTCTTGCTGCAGCAACTAGGCGTGTGAGTGAAGCTGCAGCAGAGGGAAAAAAAAAAAATGGGGGAGGCAAAGAAGGCGAGAAATGAGACACAGTGAGGAGATGGGATACATGGGGGGTGAGAGCTGAGAGAAAATGAAAAGAAAAGAAAGGGGAAAGACAATTTGCCATAATGAATAGGGAGTGAAGGATATGGGAGGTCGCACCTGCTCTAACAACCTGCTGATGCGCAGAGATGAGGGGTACAAGGCAGGTGTGAAGAGGGCCTGATATCTGACCCCTGATTCAAGTTCAGAAAATGATGACAGTCAAGTGGTTCAATTGGACAGTTATGGATGGACTGGGTGCAGGGAGAAAATCACTCCGATAGAGAGACAGATAAAAACCCTGCGGATGGACACAGGTAATGACGTCCGGTGTGATTCAATGACAATCTGTGACCTGTTAATGAGTTTATTCGGCTCGATTGTGACACAAGTTCAAAATGAAATGATTTGATCTGATGGACGTTCAAAACATTTAGTGCCAGACATCATTCTTCAAGGGTAAGCATTAGCATGTGTTCTTGGTCCTTATGGCACTCACTGAAAGGCTGCACAATTAATGGAAACAAAAACTGAATTTTAGAGGCCGCAATTAGCCAATGGCAATGACCACAATCATTTTGACATCTTTTCCTTTACAAACAGCAAAGGATCTTGTGCATTGTATACATCTGGTGACCCCCAGGCTTAGAAATACAGAGCTCAGAAATAAAAGACACATTGTATGTTAAAAACAACCCAATAAGAGCTTATAAATACGTAATTAAATATAATTAATTTAATTACTTATCTAATATTTATCAAATAATAAATAGTTTGTATAATTCAAGTATATTTTGACAGTTTTATTCGCTAATGGAAAAGGTATGTCCAGTCTTTTACAACTCAGTTTTAAGCACAATTAGACTTTAAGTGATCATTTTCTTGAAAACATTACACTCCACTTGTAATGATTATCTGAAAAGTATGCAGTCCTAAATCACTGCAGAGTTCAAATCAATATACAGAAAATAAGGAAAGCGAGAAAAACACAGGTTTTATTTTCTGAGAAAATTAAGCTGTTTTATTATCTATAATACACTCCAATGCCTTAATTTTTGTACTGTGAACATGTATTTTTTGTAGTATTTATGCAGCTGTATTGTTTGTGTTTGGCATTATAATATGTATGTTTGTCTATGCTGGCCATATAAGAGCACTGAATAAAGAATAAGAAGCAGTGGTGCACCTTCGCAGGCAGTCAGTTAGTGTGGTGGACCCTGACACGTGGCTCTCCCCGTTAACCGTGCTGCCGTCTCCTCCGGGACTGAGGGGCCAGAAAGGCGTGGATGAACCCGGCAGGTCCAGACTGATGTCCCAGAACGGATCTATCGTCGTGGAAACGCCACTGCGGGCAGAAGAAAATATAGCATGCTTAAGAATAACGAGGTTGTGTGCATTCTGAGGTGTTATAGATTTCATGAATAAGTCATGGGGATGGGTGGCATCGATGGCAACACATCAACCGACTAAAAACCCAGAGCGGTGCCTGTGTAGATTCTGGTCATGTTTCCAACAAATCCTGCTCGAGATTCAGAGTCTGCATGTGCATAATAATCTAATGTTTTGATCATTTGCAATTCAATGAAGAGTTACATCAGAAATAAACTGGTTTTATGCATAGAATATGAGTTATTAACATGTCTCTTGCTTGCATTCTGGACAAAGCTCTAAAAAAGTAAAACCCCAAGCTGTTGCATATTAATGACAGCTGAAGATGATTTGTGTAGCTGTAGCACCTTGTCAAATCACAAGATGATTATCGACATGAGCTCAATTGTTCTTGGAGAAAATTAGACAGTACTTTTTGGAAGGGGTAGGTGAAATGAGATTGGTGCCTGCACAAGAATGAGCTGGGTGCAGTTTGCGAGCACTAATGTGACAGGACAGCTCTGGAGGGGGGAGCAGGAAGGCAGTGCTCACTTTGTGCTGCTGTCTATCCGGCTCCCTTACGGTGAGTCTACTGGGACCTTACCTTTAAATAAAACTAGACAAACCCAGAAAAAAAGACAGGACAGACGGATTGGTACGTCTGTTCTTTGAGGATTGCACAAGACTGCATTAATTGTGATAAAAGGAAGAGTAGGAAATATCACAATTGAATTATTGTTGTATTAAAGAAGAAATAGTATGCATTATCTTTGGACATTATGAATGACAAAGAGACTATCTACTTTGTTATTTCATGTTTTGGAATGAGAAATATTATCTTCAGTTGTATTATATAGCGAAACAAGTATGAGTGCTAAAAAATACAACTGGCCTGCCATATCCATATGCTACCACCAGAGGGAGTAAAAGTAGGGGAAATTGCCAAAACTAATGTATAAACACTCATTTTACTTTAAAGCTCTGAGTGTGATGTCATAATGCTACAATGACACAGGACTGAGACAGAGGTTTTTCGACAGAAAGAGCAGAGTTGAGTCAGAAGTTCCTGATATTAGGCTGGATTGATCTATAAAAAAAAAGAAAAGAAACCCAAGGTCTGTTTTAATAAGGGGACAATGTTGTAACATGGTTCAAAGCTCAAAACCGTTTTTTTTAAGAATAATCCATGCAAAAATATATGGTTCCAAAGCAGATGGATCAATTTGGAGGAATCATCTTACCCAGCTATTCTACCTGCTATATGCTTATGTTTTAGGAAACACACTGTCGTGGTTTGTGATATTTCTCCTCCAAATTAACATGTGACATTACACTATACATTGCAATGAACAGGAAGAAATTTGAATTCCACATTCTCCCTTGCCTTTATATCTACACAACACCATGGTGAAAAGGCCAACAAAACACTGCATAGGGTGGAGGACTTAGTTAGTGTATCATAATATCTTACTGGCAAACTTGGCATGTAACATCTGACTGCAGGCCACCGGTGAAGATTTGGTCTATGATGCAATTACAGTGATTTGGATTGTTGGCCTTCTTCCCATTGTCATCTCCTGCAAAAGAGAAATAGCATAAGTACAAGGAGGGGATCAAAGCAAAAGTCTACTTAGCACCTCTAAAGCGCCATCTGCAGCGGGGCATATCTGGCACTTTACAACTGCCCCGCAGCCTATCAGGGGGAGGCTTACTGCGGGGTGAGTCAGCCTGTCATTGCACTGCAGCAGGCCCAATTGAAATTCCTCACAGTGCTTGCTCGCAATCCCCCCAGTGCTCGCATTGTCAGTCTCCTTCAGTAGCATAGGCACGGCACTGTGGGTACATCTCCCAGCTTTGATCAAGACTGTTTTACTTATGTACTGCCTCACAATACATGCCATTTTCTGTTCATCCATATTTCAGTTTACAATTTAACTGGGTGTAGGTTTCATATTAGAAAAAAAGAGAAAATACAGCATAAAAATGTTGTGAATAAAAATAAAACTGCCAAAGGTCAACAGGTTTCATGCTTTGTATTCAATATTGAAACCATAGGAGTTGACAGAAATTTGCATTTCAATTATTATATTAACAATATTCAGCCAAAAATTGTACAGTCTATTAGCCAAGGGGTCCTTCCAAATACACAAAAAGATCCACATTTTATTTTGCTAAAATGAGGATCTTTGAGTGACGTTGTTGTTTATAGTTTTTCCGCGCCGGTCACGTGACCGGGTGGCAAAACAGCATAGAAAGCTACCTGGATGCTAGAGAGTTAGCTATTTTTAGACATTTGGAGAGTCTTTTAAAAGTACTCTTCCATCCATGCTTAAGTATGTGCCGCTCTGTTTTTTTCCCACCCAGCGAGGGGCGCATGCGGGTGTAAACAAAGATCCTCCTATAATTTGTATTAGTTTTAACTATAACTACACTGCCATTGTTAAGATACTAAAACTATGAATGTTGATACCACAGTCGAAATCTAAAAAAACAAAATGGTTACATTATAGTTTTATCTTTTTTTTTTTTTTTTTTTTTTTTAAATGGTACCACAAGGTTTGAAGTACTAGTTCATAAACTGTCAAAGAATCTCACATCGTGTCCCATTTGTGCGATTTTTATTCCGGGGCAAGAATCAATTCTGATTTCTGATCCCTTTTGATAGACCCTAAAACCAACACTGTATTAAAACGTAATATATTTGTAACACAAAATTAGCGATAAAAACCATGTTATGAGGATTCATGGCTTTGGATTGCTGTGAATGATTGTGCATCTCTCTACTTTTTTGTTTTTCGGATAACCGTTTGTTGAGTTGCTGCTTACGGATGGTGTCTCCTTTGCAGTGTCGGTGAAGCACATCCAGCGCCGCGATAAGGAACTCGTGGGCATCTTGCTGCTCGTATCCCGCGAGGTGCCGTGCGTGCGTCCACACCAGGTGCAGCAGCCGAAAGGGAATGTGGGGTGAGCGGTGTCCCGAGTAGAACTGTTCGCAGACAAGACAAATGATACTTGCAGTTAACCTATTTTTCCAGATGTCGCACCTTGAGTTATGTTTTATCATCGATGTCATTCATTATTCACTGTAAGACTGTGACAGTACTGAAGGCATCAGTCTCAATGAGTGTCTGACTCTTAACTGCCTTCTGCCAGAGTCAATGGAGAAATGACACATCACCCAACAAGCAGCTGAAGGAGGCCCACGAGGTTAAAAGGACCAAAGACAAAGTGGACTGAGAGATGGGAAATGAGAGCGCAGCATCAGGAACATCCTTCACTGATGCATTGCAGTATCTTTGCGTTGCTATGGGAATGCAGGTGAGTGACAATCTATTTCAGGGTCAGAGATGCAGGTATCAAAGTAGCTGGGAGAAAGTGGAGATGGAAAGAGGCTACATGACACAGTTACAGAGCAAAAGATAAGAAAAGAGCCATTTATATTAATACATGGCAACAGATTGTTGACAAAAACAGGCTTCACCTTCCAGTTCTGGAAGGACCTCTAATCTGATGACACATATGCAGGACCTTGGCTGTGTTTGCGTGCATGTGGGTGCGCACATATGAATGGTGATTTAAAAAATGTACGCTTACATATACACACACTTGTTAGAATTCCGTAAGAGCCAAAAAAAAAGCGCCTTTAAGAGGCCAGAAATATGTTCTATATTTTGAGTTATTCATAATTGTCATCATTAAGCATCTGTGAGAAGGAGGCATAAGAACAGGGCCAAGCAATGCAGCAGCAATTTGCGAAATTATACCATTTAGAAGATCTGTTCTATATTGTTCACTCGCATACCTTCATCTGTCCTCATATATGAAATCAAATGCTCACTTTTCTGATTAACAAATAGCAGATTTTTTTCTGTATTAGCAAAACAATCGACACAATGTCCGTATAGTTTGTATCATTTGATCTTTTGTTTCTTTAGCCAATAAACCAATCAAAAAGCAAGAGTTGCATGATGACCTCGTCTAAACCAGGTCATGTGACTCAATCCTATAGTTATAAATTTACAGAATTTCACTAGTAAAACCTAACTTTGAATTACATTGTAAAACTGTATAAAAAAATTTTTTTTTTAAACATGAATCATACCTCCTGAAAAAGTTGCGACATCTCACACACCAGACAGGAGTTTGATTGCATCTCGCACTTGTGTCTGTCGGAGAGGAAGAAGTCTCGCAGCAATGGTGTGTGCGTTAAGGCCTGAACAATACAGTTCATGAAACACGTGTTTCCCAGGTTTATCAACCCTCGTAAACCTGCAAGAGAAAAAACCAATGAGACCATTTTATTTTGGATATTGCCTGCGTTGTACATACATACCAGTAAAGTCTATAAGTGAAAAGGGTATTACTGTGTATTACTCAGGGTAAACTCAGGGAGGTGAGCGCATTTTTTTCAGATTAGCTATGCTGATGAGCCTGTCTAAATCCCATATGTAGAACATTTGGCAGAGGCTGAAGTAGGAAACCAAACTGAATGGATTCATGAGAGGAGAGAAAGATTCTAGACAATGAAACTAGGTTAGACAGTGGTTTAAGCCCAAAAATCACTAAAAGCAGAAACAAACTACTTGGTGTTGCTTTAAGATTTTCATATATATATCTTCCCAAACTACCAATTAATTTTCGGATTCATAAGAAAATAACGCAGAGCCGAACAATGTAGTCGGCAGAGGGATCAAATTGAACCAAACAACCAATTGATTAAAGCACAATGAGCACAAGGCGCCTGCATCTATTAGAGAAAGAACACCATGTCCTCCATCTCCTGCCGCCTGAGCCCTGACCAATACAGCTCTGCTCTGATTGCCCATTTAATTGCATGTCCAACCCCAGGACATAATATAGTGAGGTACTGTACCCAATTACCTACCTATTGTACAGTTTGTCGTGATTTTCCTCCGTTTTGGATTGTGTCGTAATAACTCTAGCTCCCTCTTGGTCGGCTCCCACGTTGTGTATTTTTCCCCTATTCCTGAACATAAGCAAGAGACAACAGAACAATGTAGGACGAACAGACAAAAGCAGGAATAATCGCTCTGACACAGGCTTTATACTGCATTTATACCTTGTAATTTCCATGATTTCCTCTGCTCCTCTTTGGCAATCTGCTCCATGTCTTTGTCGTATATGTAGTCTTGACACACAAAACAATATATACCACCATATAATAGATCTATTGCTGGAAAAAAACAAAAAACAAACATTTTTTAAACCGCTTTTTACAGACAAACGAGAATGTGAGCATGAATTTATGCCATTCACTTCGACCAACCTTTTTCATATTGAGTGCAGCTATGGATGCCCTGTTCTGTTGCCGTGACAACCTATTTTTAGCCAATTTATCATTCTTTGCCGTGATTTTTGTTTTGTTTTTATGCATAATACATTAAATCAAGAGTACAATCATGTTCAGCTCTATTCACTTTTACTTCTACTTTGTCGCTCCCAAATTCAAATGCAGTATATATTGTTCCTACACTATTGTTGGAGATGATAAATGGAACATCCAAAGCTGCAGTTTTATGATTTATTTTAGTTTGGGCCCTTAGGAATTCCTCATCAGGTTAATAGAGACATTTTATTAATTAGGAACACATTAGGCATAATTAAGACACGAGGTCGAAACACAAAGGGCTACAGGCCGCAGAGGTATTTAGCTTTGCGGGTGTGCGGGGAGTAGACTGGCTTAAATTGTTGATGACATTTGACTGTATAAACTGCAGTCGGAGTAGAGTTCAGCTTGTAGGGCCGCTGAGAGGAGAAAGTTGTCTGTAGCGATGCTGTAATCCCTCACTGATAATGGCTGATGCGGCAGAGGGAAAGGAGAGAGAAGCTTAAATGGCTGGATTGTGAGTCGGACTTTTCACTTCCCCCTTGTGTACTGATCAACAAATGAACGTTACAAGTCTGTGGCTGTAACAATTCATTGCAAGTACTAGTTATTTTAATGACTATTTTAGTAATTGAATAATAAATGAGCTCAAACACATGCATGCAGAGCTGAGAGATGTGATTTTAAGACTAATTAAACAGGACATTTGTGTTAATGATAAAACAGTCTTGTTCCATTAGGAATCTTGTCCTCCACTGGTGTCTCTTTGTCTCAATTTGACCCTGATAAAGCTGAATGCCATGTCATCCAAAAAACAAATTATAATCGCTGGATGAATTGGATAATGAAAAATCCAAACTCCAAACAGTCTCTTTATGGCTACAGAAAAGACATGTTGATTACAAAGCCCCAAGCTGATCAGTGATGATTACGTTTGTTTTATGTGCACAGCTCAGGATCAGGTTTCATGAGCGTTGAACCATGTTACAGAGTTTCTTCATCATTAACTCACTCAATAGTTTCATTTTGATGAACTTGACTTGAGCGATTACTGCTGAGAACCCTGTTTTGTTCCACCCATCTTTGCCCCATATCTTTAATTATGAATAATTAATAAAAGAAAGATAGCGGGTCAAAGATTGAGTTAATGCAGTGTTTCCATGGCAATTTTTAGGACAAGATAATAAGATAATAAAAACCAATAATCGCAGTTCTATCTAATCAATAATATCACAGTTCTATTGTGAGCATAGATTGTAGGAGTGAATATTGCATACTGCAGCTGCTGCTTGCCAAATAGAAAAGTGAGCATGAGGTTTTCCAGCCAAATCAAGATATGAACAACAATTACAGATCAATTCGATGTTTGTTTAACCACTATGACCACCAGCAATGGGCTTGATTGACAGTGTGTGCATGAAGGCATGTCGCTCCTTGCTCCTGATTGGCTCAGAGCCAGAATACTGAAGCACATGTGTCAAACACGAGGCCAAACTGGGGCTCTGAAATAGTTTTCAATGATTATGATTAACTAGCACCAATAATGAGCACAGCCACTCCTAAAATTTTAGTGTAATTATTTAAATGAAAAAATAAATCATTGGCTCATCAGTCTACAATTACAAGTCTTCTATTGCTCCAGTTCTGTTTTGGTTTAATCCAAACAATCAATAACTGAGCTAAATATGTTCAGAAGAATCTAACAGAAAATAATATCTACGTTCTGATTAAATTAAAGTAATAATTGTGTGATGTAGTTTTAATCTATGTAATTGGTCCTGTTCTTTAAACATTAAACTAGATCATTTGTGAGCAAATACTTTACAGCCCACTGAGAAGAAAAGGAACCATTACTAGTTCTGCTGAAATGATGCTACTTACCAAGGTTATGTCTTTTGTTCTTTGCGTGCTCGTGAATGTGTTTCTTCGTAAAGCAGCCAAAAAACACGCAGTAGAGGCAGGAGTGAAGTCGATTCAGGTGGGCACCACACATATGACAGATACACGATTTAGCCTGAAGGAGAAAATGAGGAGGGGGGGGGGACATTGAGTATGATTAGAAAACAGCAGGCTCAAGTGAACTCTGTCAGCCAAATTTGAGCGTTATTGCCACTCTGAGTCGTCACGCAAGCACTTATAATCCCCATTCTGATTTAAATTCAAGTCAAGATCGCCGGTCCTCTTGACAAATCTTCTGAAAAAGAATAGCACATTTCCGCACCAAAACCTCCACTCGATCACATACTCTGGACTGGTGGGATTTCACGCTCGGCTGGCCTATACACAGAGGAAGTCAGGTGGGATCTGGATCAGAGACAGACCATCGCATGTAAAGCCTCGGACATGTGAAGCCATAAACAGGTGCTGAAAATTATGTGAGCAACAGAATGTAGAGACCAACTGCAGATGGATGAGTTTCGCACAAACAAATATTTCTGAACTCGTGCTTACTTAAGGCTCAAGGCTTAAACAACTACAAAATAAACAATTTCGGGAAAATATGTACAACATTGTCATGCTTTACCTTAAAAATCAAAACCATAGAAAAGTGAAATGAAGATGGTTTCGAGAGGGCCATGGCATGAAAATGATCTTGTAAATGTAATAAGGACGTTTATTTCACTAAGGCTATCCGACGTGAACTTGAAAACCCCAAAATGTATTGTCTGAGCGATTATCTTTTGATCACTGATACAATAGTACCATCTGACACCGTCTGAACAGGATTACAGTTTATTGTAGACGAGAAACACAAGCGCCTCAGACAGTTACTTCATACCACCTCTGGTATCGTGTCGAACAATGGACAGAGACTACTCTAGGGATAGCCATGTTGATATTTCTGATCATTATTGCTTATAAAAGAGTCTGATTTTGTTCAGGATGAAAATAACAAATATAAACGTAAACATAATCAAACCATGTAAGACCCGAGTTGTGCAACCCTTTTGACAGTTTATATGAATAGTGAAACAGAATATAGAAAATAATGCTTCTGCCGAACAACCACAGAAAGATAATGACTTATTCTATTGACCAATCATAAAAAAGAACAGACACAAGTAATTTTGTTCTCATTTTTGGTCCCATCTTTGTTTGCAAAGAACTGAAATACTTGCAATTTCGATATGATTACATCTCTAGACTGCTACTGCATTATTATTAAAAAACAAAATACTCAAAACATACTTTCACACATGCAGTGTTCGAATACTGAAATAATCTCATTGCATGATCAGGTAACATTAAGTTGACGAGCAAAGACACCTTGTATTTCAAAAGCTCTGCAGTTCCATATTGACTTTTGCAGCTGGAGAGAAATCCATTTCTGCAGGGTTCGGCCTATCCATTGCACAGTGTCAAAATCACTGGGTCCGTCTCTCGTTCCAGGGCTTTTAATGCTCTATTAGATCACCTATTGATCCATGCTGACTCAAATGACTGAAACAAGTGTCACACAGGTAGTAATCATCGTCTGTGTCAGGTGGAATGACCTACCGAAGATTGTGATGGATACAACCTCAAATCAAACAAAATGCAGAGGATGCTCTGATAGATATAATAGCAGAGCAGTGCTGTCTATCAAAACCGGTCATTTGTCATAACTGTGTGTCATTGTATCAGGATGAATCAGTCAACTGTAAATCAACAGTGTTTATATTAGTATATATATATATATACAGAATTTGAAAAACAATTATTAGAAAACCAGATACCAGATAGAAACCATAACTTTCCTCACTGAGAGCTAAACGTAATCGCGCTCATTATTACCATTTACCAATCCCTTTTGTGTCAAGTTGAGAACAATGATTTTGGTTGGCCATGGGGAAGTGTTCTTTATCTCCCCCTGCTGTTGGTCAACTAGCGAGATTGGCGATTTGAAAGCATCAGAGGAACAACATCAAATAGAAACGTGGACACTGAAAGTTTAGAGAAAATGGGTTCCAAACAAAAAAAGGAACAAAAAAAGATGAAAAAAGAAAATACCTCAATATCATTGTGCTGCCTGTGAATTTGCCACTCAGTTTGAAAGTAGCATTTCCAATTCAATAACAGCAACACTTCCCATTTTGATTCCACTGAGAAGTATTGTGTAACCAAAGACGACGCCATTTTTCAACCTCTCCATCTCAGTCTATCCTTGTCATTTGTGCCGATGCATTTGTATATGAGACAGTAATATGAGGACTTGTAACTGAAGAGGACGAGCAGTGATACTGGACAATTGTCTGCGCTCGCTGAACATGTTCATACAGCAGAAACCATGAGAGCCGTGACTCACCGTGCTTCTGCTGCTCTTCAGCTTCAGAGTGCTGCTGCGCTGATTTTAATTGGACATCTTATATAATGCTCCTCATGAAATTAAGATCTTGCAGGAATGTGTAGATGACTAAGCCTCCTATACATTGCAGTGCAGTCCTTCTCTTTATGTGTGACCTAACCATCCAGGCCAAACCAAACCATTACAAAAATGAAAATAGATAGGTGAGAAACCGTGTTGGTCAAATGCAAGACAATTCGTTGAGCGTTGGTTTAACATTTGGGGATGTGAAATAAGTGGGCTGCATTGTGGTAGCTTACTCTCCATGAAAAAAATACACCCTACGATTGTCATTCTGTCCAACCTACCCTTGCGGTTTACCTTTGAACTGGTCAGTCTTCATTTCCAGGAATAAAAATGGCAACATTTTAATATCGGTATAGGCAAAAGTGCAGGTTTAAAACTGCACTTTGACGGTGAAGGTTTCTGCAACCTTCTTGTATTGAAGCGGTTTAATACCACACAGCAGACGCATTAAACTATCTCGCATTACAGACCTTTTAACGAGGCAAAAATTCCTAGTATATTACTCTTAAGCCAGATTTTCCATTTGAATATTACGGTATGTACAAAAAGAATTCTATGTATGATTCAGTCCACTCTGACAAAATAACCTAACTGCGTGTACTTTCAAATTAAATTCAACTTAGTTCGACTCAAGGTCATTGTCAACTCCGACGATATTAGCCTCACCGATTATGGGACTTTTGGTAGGCAGCTTTAGAGGCAAGGACGGAGGAAACAGCTGAAGCGCTTATAAATAGTTGCAGACAGCTAAACATGTGTCTCACTAGGGCAGACCCTGCAGGCCGGAGTGGCGTTTTGTTTTGGTCGCCACAGATGGTTTAAAGTTGACCCAGAGTTTCACAAAAGACGATCTAATCATTTGCCAGTCCCAGATGCCCACTGCCTGCCTACAACAGCCTAGAGATGGACCATACATCAGAAGAAAGACACCAACTTCCCCCTTTACTTTCATGCTATCATCATGCATTATTCACAGTCAAAGTTCCACTGACTAATTTCCCAATAATGACAATGTCAAGTGAATAATGTAGTTTTCCTAGCAGTTAAAACGTATAACATAATAGTATTTAGTGTTTGTGGGCTTGGTTGGTCCCTGGAGGGTGATTGACAGCTCATTAGCCAGATGGCAGAACTAAAAAGAGGGCCAGAGAGCTTGGCTACCCACTAGCTAGCTCCAACTCTGACCATGTCTCTGCAGCAGTGAAGCCACGAGAATGAAAAGAGAATAACAATGATACGTACTATAAACCAGACAATCAGATGGAAACAACCGGTAAGGCTTTCTTGGAAATCTAATGCAACATCTCGTGATAAACTGTATCTATACAATCCTTTCGCCTGTGTTCAAAATGCAAGCAAGTAATGTTTATTTTATGTTGCGCATTATACAGACCAAGGTCACCCAAAGCGCTTTACAATAATCAGTTATTTTTATGACTTCAGGACTGATTAGTAACTAATACTTGTATTTTAGGTTTCAAATACCCCAAAAATTACAATCCATCCTAAATCAACTTATTCAAAAGATTAAAAAGGTTTAATGTTGCATGTGATCGTAGACCAGAGGGCTACCAGACCTAATAAATCCAAGAGAAGGTTATTGGACTTTGGGCTATTCGTTTAGTCTGACTCAGAGCTATAGCAGAGATGACGGACAAGCGGCAAGCCACATCAGACAAGACCAGGCAGTGACATAGACGGGCCAAAGGAACGGGGAGGAAACAGCGCGGGAAAGAAGCCAAAACCCGAGGTCTGACATCATCAAACACGCTCCACATAATGAGAACAAAAAGGGCAGAATTGAGGCAAGGCAATGCATTTTTAAACATCTGCAGGGGGAGCAAAGGAAGGGGGGGCAGATCAAAATACGTGCTTTCCTTTCTTCTGGAACACCAAGTACAAGAGATGTTGTGTGAGAAATCTGAACACGGTTTGAAACTGCAAGATTTTACAAAAAGCAGAAGGGAAGAGGATAAAAAAGATGTGGGAGTGCGCGCAGAAGAGGAGCTAGAGATGAGGAGCGCGCTATTCGAAAGTATGCTGATGAGTCAGGGAGCAGGCCTGTGATGTGATGGAGAGCGATCTGACAGAAAGATCTGCTCTACGCCTGGCTGTGTCTCCAGAGAAGTAAGGTTGTTGTTGTGTGGCACTTCATGTGTAAATCCGACACTCCTACCTCTGTGATTCTGGCAGCAACAAGCTAAAATGCATATTCTTCCTCTCATCAGCAGGATTGTCAGCTCTCCAAAAGGAATGAGTGTATTATTAGCAGCTAGGCCTTCGATCATATATGATTTATCAAAAGCAGAGGATGAAAAAAGTTGACTTCTGTTGCCTCTCTAATCATGCCCCTTAGCCTGTGCCTCTGCATCAAAGAATCCATTGCTGTAAAATAGTGTCAAGCCCACTGACTCGGATTTCATCTCAAGCTTTTGACTCTTTGAAGATTGAATGAAGGCAAGACATGAACAATACAGTAGCCTTACAGAATGACCCTGTATTCAGAATGTGCCTACAATGAGTCTACAAATTAAACACATCCACACTTTCATAATACAGACTGGAAAACTTCCTTCTCAGACAGGACACACTCAGAAGATTCAGGATACAAATGATAACCAATCGCAATGTGTTTGTATTGCCATTCTTATCCTAAAACTCATGCTTCTCATTATGGATGAGAATATCTGTGGTACATGTTATATTTCAGTGTGTCCTTCTTTAGTTTTGAAGTGCACTACATTGTGAAAAGTAAAAATTCATGATAAAACCAAATTGAAGAAAAATAATCAGCATAAATTGGTTGAATCATCAATCAATATTGACATTATTTGTGATATGATAATAAACTTGTATTACCATATTGGTCTATTTTTTTTAACTCAAGTTCATCAGGGGTGTGAATAAACCCAGTGAAATAAAGAAGTCTTAATACTGTTAGAACGCCTATTCTCACAGTATTGATGTCACTGTATACAGATTGTTTCATCCTTACCAACTGAAACAGTGATGATTTTTAAACATCCATGCAGTTTTCTGATTTAAAGAAATAGATTACATATATTTATATCTAGCTTGCCATCATTTTGTTATCTTGTTCCAGCACTAAATAGGGCTAATAATATACAAAGGTCTAAGATTTAAGATTTTATTTATTTGAAAAGGGACAGTGCACATTAATCAACATTTTACAATGTAAATATGCCCGAGTTAGCAGAAAAGCTAATTTTCATCGGTAGACCCTTTGGCAGATGTCAAAGCCAGCCTAAAAAAGCAAGATTAAAATAACATAGCAATTTACAAGACACAATATAATTGCATACATACATAGTACATGAAATGAACAAAGTATACATTTTCAATATAACTAGTGTGCACAAGTCTGTGTCTCCACGAGCCACTTTTTGGCTTTAATTTTTTAATAATTTTTTAATAATTCTGTGTTATTATGTTGATGTGATCAGTGAAATTTCCCAAAGCAGCCCCTCAAGAAGCAGCACAACACCAGAGATCTAGGTTTAAGAGTATGTGTTCACTTACCACCATTGACACTCCTGCATTTCCCTGAGGCACCTATTTACCAGAAAAAAATGAAAAAACAACAACATGTAAGACTACAAACCATCTATCCATGAACATTATGTGTCAACGCAACATTACAATGTTTTTGGTTAAACTTAATTTACAAGTAGAGTGGGGAAGACTTCCAGCACACAGATTACATCACTTTTCAGACGTATGCCAAGCAGGAGAGGAGCTAACAAAATCAGATCATGGATAAAGCAGCCAAACAGGCGTCACAGCATCCTCCTCCAAACTCAGGCTGAATCACTGCTGCAGGATGCTGCCTCTCCCGGTGCATAGAAGACAAGTGGTGCATCGGGCAAACGTGGACTCAAAATGTAACAATTTCGATCCAAAAACAATAAATCCTAACAAATTTGACCAAGTGATTTTGTTACATCAGATACCGAGAGTGACTGTGACTAAACGTGTAGCTGCTCTGCTCCCGGCAAGGGAATGACTCGTGAAGTTAAAGCAGTTCCTGGAAGTATATTTACCCGTGTGTTGCCGCTAGATTAAGTAAAATACACATCTGGACGTAAACAGTCTCGTTTAAATGCATCATGTGGGCCAGCCTGAGCACTTGGCTCCGTGGCACTGTACATACTGTACATAGGGGGAATAAGTCAGATAACTTCAAGTTCCTGTGTTTTGAGAGTTTTACCTTGCGTCTCCTGGTTTCTGCAGTACCACTCCAGACAAAGCATTGGTAAATGACTCGAAGGTTTTGTTTCCAATTATCCACCTTATAGCCGTTCACATGGGAGCACCCGGCCGGACTCATGACAGACGAAACATTCAGTTTGAGAATTTAGGTCACAGTAAAGAGTCTCTTGTATGCTTTACTTTGCTAGCTGCGAAGCTAGCTCGAACTATGTGTCCAGAGATGGTTTCCGTTTGGAAATGGGACAGTCGTTGTAGTATCCAAATTGCTCCTCGGGCATCTGATAGCACGGTCTTTGATTAAGTAGTTACAAGTATGTTCATTGAGTCATTTACAAGATTTGTCACGTTACTTGAAATGCTGTTCCCCTTGCTGCTTTGACAGTTGCCTTTTCCTTTCACGTTAGCTGTTCTTCTACTCTCACGATTAGTTAGCTTTCTTTCTCTAGTTAGCTGCTAACGCTCAACTACGGCTTCACAATGCCCGCCCCGCGCGCTCCGTGATTTGCCGACACAAAGGCCTTACGTCACCACGCCGAGGTAAATGCACGCTGGGTTCGCTTGTTTTGTTCTGTTGTATCCGCCGGGTGCGTTCAAGTCTTACTGGAGTTATTTATTATCAGAATTAAATTCATTTACGCGTGGATGTATGTCACCTACTATGATATATGTATCACAGACACATAGAAGACTGGAAGACACCTCCACAAAATACATCTGTCTTGAATCTGATGTAATAACGTCAAGCGCAGCACAGTGGTGGAACACATACAAAGTTTAGACACACTGTTTCATTTCGTGGATTGCCAGTTGATGTTAGAATATTCCTTGTAATGCCATGTACAAAACGTGTCATGTTACACATATAGTTTGTGCAAGAAATTCTGGCGTTATGGGCGTTAGTGTAACATATAAATGTTCTATGTTCGCCATCTAGTGGCTGTACTAGGTATGCAACTTTATCAAGCATTTGTACCCATTTTACAAATAGAGTATTGCTCTATTCTATTACATTTTTTAACTGCCGCGTATATGGCATTTCATCTTTGTTGTCAATCTTTGCTAAAATGAATAAGTATGGATACGTCTTAAAGGAATTTAAATAGATTGCATTGTCATAGGGGCACAATGGAGGGACCACAGCAGGCCTGGGAAATTAAGGGAATGCCTCGGGATTCCCCCGGATGAACTGGAGGAAGTGTATGTGGATAGGGGAGTCTGGGTAACTCTGCTTGGACTGCTCCTCCCACAACCCAGAAACGGATAAAGCGGTCACACGGGAGGAGCTCAGAGTAGAGCCGCTGCTCCTCCACGTCGAGAGGAACCAGTTGAGGTGGTTCGGCCATCTGTTCCGGATGCCTCCTGGACGCCTCCCTGGGGAGGTGTTCCGGGCACGTCCCACCGGGAGAAGGCCCCGGGGAAGACCTAGGACACGCTGGAGGGAGTTTCTCAGCTGGCCTGGGAACGCCTTGGGGTCCCCCCGGACGAACTGGAGGAAGTGTGTGTGGATAGGGTAGTCTAGACTGCTGCTCCCGCGACCCGGCAACGGATGAAGTGGAAGAAAATGGATGGATGGATGGATGGAAGATCTACAGAAAGAGATGGCTCAGCAAGCATATTTGAAATAGTAATTTTGTCAATATTCAATATAAGATAATATATAGAGACTCCTTCTTTACAATATCAAATGGGACATATTCACAATAAGTTTTTTTTTTTCCAAACAGAACATAAACCCACTGAAACACAAGGGCTCTGACACCGCAGATGTAGCAGCCATCTTCCTGTCGACACCACCCTCCGGAGGATCAGCGAGGGACTGCTATGAGCATTGAGTGGCAGCGCTGATTGTCACCCCCCCCCGACCCAGAAATGGACTAATAAAGGGGTAGAAAATGAATGAATGAATTAAGATGAACCAAACCCCTGATGCTACAGAAGTAACTAGTTTAAGGGGATTTATATGTTTTGTTTCTCCAACAGGTTAATGAGGACATTTTATTTGAAGAAGGGGAAGAATGTAAGGGGATTTATATTGTTTTGTTTTGTGTTATGCCCTGTGTTATTACCTGGCTAGGACCTATTTTGAGTGCGCATTGATATGACGGTGATGAGGTCACGGGCGCTAGATAAATGTAACCTCGGGTTTGAGGAGAGTTGGCTGGATGGGGAGCTGTAGACTAAAGCTACGTTCCTGAGGAGCTGTCCCTCTCTGTGTGATTCTTCATACACCCACGACCTTTCTAACACAGGGTGATACTCGCTCAATGCAACTTGTATTACACTAGTTATTAATTTATTCCTTTTAACTCAGTGTAAAATTATATTAGTTACATAATGCTGGTTAGAGTTATGTATTTAAATTACACAATCGCTTTGGTTCTCATTGTTTACCATTCATTTGACAAGAGAAAGTAGACCATTATAGTTAAAGACAGAAAGAGCCATCTGGTCCTTTCTGTCACACGCAATACATCAGTTTAAGTATTTGAAACAAAACTTAAACTGATGCCATTTTGAATGTGATCCGTGTAAAGACTTTCACAGCACAGTTACATTTTGAAGTCATGTTCTATTTTCAAATACATTACAATCACAGCAACAAGTATACACTAAAATTTGAGGACACCTTGACCAACACTTGTCATAAATGAATCATGATAAATCATGTGGTCAATAAAGGCCTAAGGAGCAGTCACCTGTATACGCACAGGTTGCACTATTCAGTTATTTACTGTATACACAGTGTGTCTCATATGGGGCAAATATTGAAGATAGCTAGCCTACTTTAAGTTGCTAGGCAAATCTCTTGACATCAGCAACTGATGTTTGCTCTATATTATATGCCCTAATTCAGATAGCAGGTCTTACAAGGGCAGTGGGTCACTAGATCAATAAAACGACGATGGTTTGATATAAAATCTTGCTGAACTAAAATACAAATTGCCTGTAAGCATGCACATACCAGCTAAAGGATAGGCTTCAATTTTTATTTTGCTAAATGTACCTAATATGCCAATTCACAATTTATCAGCAAGTTACTTTTAATTCATATATATAAAAATAAATAATAATAACCTTGGATGTCAATCTTTGCTGAACAAACATATATTTATGTCTCATCTTCTGCAAAAAAAAGTGTTTTATATATATTTTTTCTAAAGTTGGTAAGAATTAAGTGTGTAAGTGCTTGTGGATTATGATGAAGCACCTCACCTGTCTCTGTGATAAGCGCTCTTTTCTCCGAAAATAAAACAAAAATCATAGGGAGAGTTTTTGTGTAATGTCTTTCTTATCTGGACTTCGTGTCTGTAATAAAGTTTAATATAATATATAATGAGAAAAGGTAGGTCGCATTTTGTGACGTCACCCGCCTGCGCCACGGAGGATCATGATGGCGACTGCTGCTGCCCCGCCAGTACAAGAGAAAGAATATGAAGACTGGTCCTTTCTACCTCTGGTCCACGATATTTTAAAATGGTAATGCTGCGTATGTGCGTCTAATCGTATCGTATCGTATCGGCATTCTGCTCCATCTGTTTAATGTGTGTGCACGTTCGGTGACAAACAATTGGTTGACTGGTTGTGCACTTTTTAGCTCCTATGTTATTATTATTATTGTTATTCGTGTCGTGTGTTCTAACTTGTCTAAATCTATTTAGCATGGACAAGGATAGTCAAGATGTCCACCAAGAGCTTGCAAAGTTAAAGTCCAAGATCCAGGATGCTCGGGAGCAGATCTCCAACATGCCCGGTATCGATTGCAGCCCTGTGGAACAGCAGCAGCAGCTCTGCACGCTGCGGGAGCAGGTGCGCACCAAGAACCAGCTGCTGCACAAGTATAAAGGCCTTTGTATGTTTGATGTTCCCAAAGCATCATGAGAAGCTCGGCTCAACAGGACACACCAACAATGCCCCCATATGTTACATTCAAGGACTGTCGGGATAATATTATTATGTGGAATTTTTGTACTATTTTGAACAGATACTCCGAACGCCACACTGAAAAGAACACAAAATATCTCATATGCAGTGAATCATGCTGACAGTTTGGATATCCACATCACAGTACTTCGTGTTTGAGAAATAGTGTTGCTATTTTTACAGATTCCCAAGTTTGTTTTCCCTTGTAATGAATTTCTAAATAAATATATGCTAATTCATGTCTTGTGAAATACAGAAACTACTTTTATAATGGGATTTTAAGTCGTATTTGTTTGGATTTAAAGTTAAAATCTTTGACTGTGTGGCATGATTTATGATAACTAATTTGTTATTGGACCCCAGCATCAGGCCAGGGATCACTTATCGTGTCTTTCGTCTTGGCTTCTTTATATAAAATTCAGATTTTTAAAGCATGTGTAAACCTATAGGAAAACGGGCAACAATTTTAATATGTCAATACTGTAGAGGTTTCCATCACAGTCTCAAATTGGATTAAGGCAGTATAGGCCAATCGGGGAGCACCTAAACTATTGAGCCCATAGGGGTCACCAGATTCAAAACATGTATTTTCTCAAGTGGTATACAAGAAACTCAAGTTTTGTTATAGCATAAATTCTATTTGATTTCTTAAGGTGGAAACATTAACATTTTCAGATTCCTTTTTTTGCATTCAATCGCTCTCAAGTGTAGAAGAAAATGTGTCAAAAGAAGAGAAATACAGATTTTATTATTTATACAAAAGTAGACAATAAATACATATTTTTTGTATTTGTTCAACTATATACACAGTCAAGTTAGGTAGGCAAATGTAAACATGGTCAGTGCCACTATAGGATATTTCAGAGATTCTACTGTATTACTACAATATAGAATGCAGAAATGAGGAGACAGCTGCGCGTGATTCTGCATGGACCAAAACGCCCACAGTAGTTCGTAAACTTGTATACAAGTCTTAAGTCCTTTAGCAAATAAACTGTCAGCAGATGATGCATCCCTTTTCTTTAGTTTGACTGCCCCCTACGGCCTTATCTTTGATGTACATCAGGTCGCTGTGCAGGCTGGGTCTGCGCGCAAACGGAGCCACGATGCCGTACGCGTTCCCGTCCTTGCATTTCTTGCTCCTGAACGACTTTCTGTGCAACACCTCGCTGTACTGCAGGGTGACTTTACAGTGACGGTCGGGGCTCATTTCGTTGGGCAGTTTGGCCATTGTAAAGAGAGTTTGAAACATTTGGTCCACGTTGATGTTTTTCTTGGCTGAGATTTCAAAATACGCACAGTGCTCGTCTCCCCCAACAAGCTTCTCGATTTCCTCGTCCTGGACCTGGCGGTAAAAGTCTCTATCGCTCTTGTTGCCGCAGATGACCAGCGGGACGTCCACGTTTTCTTTGGTCTTGTTTCGGAGGCAGGACTTGGTCTCGTGGATTTGGCGCTTCAGACGCTGCACCTCCTGAAACGACTCCCTGTTGTCCAGGCTAAATACCAAGATGAACACATCACCTACAATAAAAGAGTAGGTCTTAAGTTAGTTTTCTTGCACATTTCTCTAAAGCAATAACACGTAATAACAACATTATACTTGAGATAATATAAATAAACTTACCAGTTAGAATAGAAAGTCTCCTGATTGCTGGGAACGGGTGATTTCCAGACGTATCCAAAATGTCCAGTTGATAGACTTGTCCCCGGATACTGTAGAATTTTCTGTGAAAGTCCTCAATTGTTGGTGTATAATGCTCATCAAATCTTTCATTGAGAAACCGAGAGATTATGGCGGTCTTCCCAACTTTCGTGGAGCCAAGAATGACCATCCTGTGGCAGTTTTTGGCCGGTATGTCAAAGGCGTTTTCGCACGAAGACATTTTCTTTATCATTCTTGCAGGTGTGTTTGAAGGTTTATGATCAGATAAAATCCTTTTTCTGTGGTGAGAGAGATGAGCGCTCTCTGTCTGAAGGTTGAGCGCAGCTGAGGCGCGGCGTTTATAGAAGAGGTGGTCGCGCCTCCCAACGCGTCATGCGTCATGGTCGCTCCTCCAGCTTGGGGAGCAATCCCAAGCAATCCCGAGCAATCCAAAAAAAATGACATGTTACTATGGCTGTTTTGTGCGTCACAACTGCCAGCCCCTCTGCAACATGAAACACTTTGGACTGTTTTGTTGTGTTTTTTTATAGAATGTACTCAAATTATGGAAAGTGAAAAGTAATGACGATAACATTCATATCGTTAACATTCTATTTAATAATATGTACAATAAAATCAGTTAAGAAATAATGAATTATGCACAAATCCTCACCGCCTTTTAGTATTCTTTTGCTCTTATTCTGGTTTGCGACCTTTGCTTCAATCCTGATGTCAAATGGAGTGATTATACTACATATAAAAAAGTGTTAGATATATATGACAGGTATGTGAGAGGGGGTGTTAACAGTGATCCTCACCCCACAGCTATTGAACTAACTTAGATAGAGCATATAAATGCTATTGTTATGTTCCAGGTCATGTGTGTCGCATGTGAAATCGTGTTGGAAGAAGTGTTGTGTAGATCTGCTGTTGCTTGTGCCGGTCCAATTTTGACGTGCCCATATGTGTAAATCGAAATACTCCACAGGCTTCTAAAGATAGAGCGTGATACCTGTGACTCAAACCTGCCACAGTCACTTTAACCACTTATCACGTTTGTCTTTGATAATTGTGAGAGAAACACCTAGATGCTATAAACACACAGGATACTTTTCTCCAATGTGTAAATTCTCCCATCTTTTTAGTAGCCTTGTGACAGCATTGGCCCAAAAGCGGAGTGATTTTCTACAAATGCAAATAATGATCTTGATAGCATACTTATTCATTATGATAGCATACTTATTCATTATATTCACTTATATGATAGCATACTTATTCATTATTGCTATGGAGATATTGGCGATTAAAGTCAGATTGAATAAAAATATTGAGGGGCTCGTTAATAATAATATTGAAAGTAAAATATCAATGTATGCAGACGATACAAGCTTCTTCATCACCCCCAATCCTCATTGTTTACAAAATCTTTTAAATCTGTTGGACATCTTTTCACAGCAATCTGGGCTTAAGCTTAACTATGATAAATGTAAAATATTAAGGATCGGAAGTTTAAAGGGAACACCCTACAGAATGGAATGCAAAGTACCTGTTGTGTGGACAAATGGACCAGTTAACATACTTGGTGTTGTTATCCCGGATGATCTGGAAAACCTAGGCTCAGTAAATTATGAAAATCGATTAAAAAAGCTGTATAAAATTCTGCAATTATGGAAAGGGAAATCTTTAACCGTGTATGGTAACATATCTATTGTCAACTCTTTAATTATTCCTCAATTTATTTATTTAATTTTGTCATTACCAGCTCCATCACAAAACTTTTTTAAGGTTTATGAGCATAGGGTCATGGATTTTATCTGGGATGGCAAGCCAGAAAAGATTAAAAGAAAAGTTTTGTACAATGAATATGAATATGGGGGTTTGAAACTTTTTAACCTTGAAGCTATGTGTCTGTCTTTAAAAGCATCAATTGTTCCAAAGATGTATCTAAACACTGAGTGGTACACAAGTGTCCTGTTGGACAAAAAACATGTACTGTATCATAAGAAATTGTATCCGTTTTTACAAGTGATGCCCTCCCATTTTCCTTATGTAGAGAGTCTGCTGGGAAACATCTCAGGGTTCATAAAGGAAACAATCCAGTCATGGTAGTGTTTTCAATTTTGTGTACCAGAAAAAAGAGATGACATTTTGCAGCAGATATGGATGAATTCTAATATTGTAATAGATGGAAAGCCTTTCTTTTGGAAAAACATGTTTGAAAGAGGAATTATTTTTGTCAATGACATTATCAATGAGAATGGTAAGATCATGGAGTATGATGAATTTAGAATTATGTATGGTGATGTTTGTTCAAGCTTTTCCTTTAATCAACTAACTGGAGTTATTGGAAAAAAATGGAAACAAATAATTAACTATGGAACTACTAAACTATTAGTTTGTAAACCTCCAATAAGAAACTCAAGTTGGCAAAAAGGAATAAAAAAAAATAAAAAAATATATAATTTTTATTTAATAAAGAAATCTCTGAAGGTTGCCCCATATAACACATGTGGAAAATGGGAAGACTATTTTGACTGCCCGTTGCCGTGGGATACAATATTTAAATTAATCTACAAAACTACTATTGATGTGCAGAATCGTTATTTTCAAATCAAAATCTTATATAATTTCTTACCCACCGGAAAAATGTTAAAATTATGGAATGGAGTCAGATGATTGCCGTTTTTGTTGTCAGGAGTCTGAATCCACACTGCATTTGTTTTGGTACTGTCATATTGTGTCTTTGTTTTGGGTAGAAGTTGAAAAAATGTGTTTAAGGATCGGTTTGTTTATGAAGCTTGATGTGATTTCTGTTATATTAGGAGATTTTATTGACAGTCACGATTTAGTTAATTTAATTATTGTACTCGGTAAAAGATTTATTTTTAAGGCAAAAAATAGATATTCACTTAGTATTACTTTCTTTAAAACATTTATTCAGCATTTCTTTACATTAGAAAGTTATATGGTTGAAACCGATAATGATGCCAAAAAACATAAACGTAGATCTCAAAGGCCTTTTTTGAAAATGTATTTTTGATTATAGATTATATGCTAAACTGTGTTTGTGTTTCCTTAATCTGGGTGTATGCAAATGAAGGTGTGTGTTGCTGAGCCCGATCTCGACATAATCTGGACTGGACCCTGTTTTAAGAGCCCTTTAAACCATCTAATCTCGCTGAAGCCTGGTGTGGTGAAGATAGTGTTTTTTTTGTTGTTTTTTTTTTGTTAATTAACTTATTATAATTTTGTTTTAATTATTATACATTTTATTTATTTTGTATTTTTTTTTTTTTTTTAATACAATAATTTTTTAATTTAAGCAAAATGTAACTGGTAAATGTTACTACTACCAGTGGACCAGCAGCACACACAACCCTATTGCGGTGGATGTGGTTTCCGAAAGGCACTGGTTTAGGGCAGTGCCTCACGGACTTCATCCCGTGCAGACTGCATTGCTATATATTGTAGGAACCAGAATGTTAATATGGTAAGGAAACAACCCGTTTGTGTGAATGAGTGTGAATGAGTGTGAATGGGGGTGAGGGTGGGAGGGTTTTGGGTTGGAGCACTAATTGTAAGTGTATCTTGTGTTTTTATGTTGATTTAATAAAAATAAAAATAAAAATAATAATAATAATGATCTTGATTAATTAAATGCAATATTATTAAGTGAATAGAAGTTGTGATCTTTTTTATTATCACCATTCTTTCTTTACTTACAATTGTTCAAAGAAGAGGTTCTAATCTTTGCTAGTTGTATTTTCAAATTGAATAATCAATTCATATATCCTAATACCTGTATTCACTACAGTTTACTTAATGTCATGTCATTTTCAACCCCTTTATTTTTCCATTTCTGGGTCGGGTGCCAATCAGAGCTGCCACCCAAGTCTCAACCCACCAGTCCATCGCTGATCCTCCTGCAGGTCAGATTCAGATTCATTTATTAGCCATGTGCAGTATAAAAACTACATTGGAATACATTTGCAAAAAAAGGTACTCTGTGTGCACCGACAGAATAAAAAGCACGATACAATGTAATATAAAATACACATACACTGAATATAAAAGAATAAAAAAACAGCTGACACTGTGGCACCGAGGTGGTGAGTCAACGGGATGATGGCTTCTCCGCGATCGAAGACATGGCCTCGGTCTTTCAGCAGGGGGCTTCAGGCAATGTGGGGTTAAGTGTCTGGCCCAGGGACGCAACGACAGCAGACATCAGTGGGAGCAGATGACATGGGTCGTGGTGGGCTCGAACCCACGACCATTAGGTCCAAAGACCAGTGCTCTACCAACTGAGCAGTTTACTTAATAAAAAAGACAATTAACAAATGTTCACATACATTAAGCGAATGGAGTGTTTACGCCTCCCTTCCTCCTGTATTTTTTGCACTTCATTTACATGATTAACATGATCACATTATAATAATTCCACTTGTATTATCATAAGTTTTGTGTATAGTGGGCCATCTATTTACGTGAGCCAATCCTGGTGACCTTTTTGTCAGTAGAGTGAAATTAGATAGGGGTAGCTAAGCCCGCTTGTCCATGGGGTGTGCATTGGGTTTGTATAACAGGGTCGAGTAAGCCAGTGGCCTATTGGTCTGTAATGAAGCCAGTGTGTTCCCAAATGTATAATAGGACACGTGCACACGACCATGAAGCCTATATGGATTAGGGGCATATGAGCCTATAGCACACAAACATTACGAGGCTAGGTCCTGAATGAAAACAGAAAAAATGAAAATATACATACACACAATTAATCCACTGAAATGTACTTTATAATTTCAACATAATCCAAAAAATCATCTAAAACAAAGGCTCAGGACTTTTTTAAGGGTTTGATTGATTCATTTATATTATTATTTCAAATTCGAATCGGAACCATTTATAAAAACAATTTAAAAAGAAACGAGAAATTTTCACAAATATTGAACGGCTGAGAATGTCCCTTTTTGCAATCAATCTCTTTCAAGTGTAGAAGAAAATGTGTCATAAGAACATATGTTTTTATTAATACAAAATAGACAATAAATACATCTTTTTTTGTATTTTTTCAACTAAATACATAGTTACATGTTGAACTGCTGAGAATGTCTTTGATTAGGCGTCTGTAACATCATTTTTGACACAAGTTCTAGTTTGTTTGTAAAATTCTGCTGTCTCCGTCATCTTTCTGACCTCACGTCAAATATGCTCACGAAACAGACTGGGTGTATTTTTGATCCAAGTTGAGTTTGT